ACGGGGAACGGGGCGGGGACGGGGAATGAATTTCTTAACGGGGCGGGGGACGGGGAGGGCATCCCCGCCCCCGCCCCGCCCCGTTGCCATCCCTAATTCTATGCCTGGAAAGATGTGATTATATATGATTTTGTTTCCTAAAAATAAACTTCCAACAGCTCACACCAACACTCCCTCTCAAGTTGATGCATACATGTCACTGATGCCCAACTTGTCAAGTGAGTTGTGAAAGTCTTTACTTGAAACTGCCTTTGTGAGTATGTCCGCTAGTTGATCCTTGGACTTCACAAAAGGAAAACGAACTATCTTTGCTACCAAATTTTCCTTGATGAAGTGTCGATCTACTTCCACATGTTTTGTTCTGTCGTGTTGAACCGGGTCATGAGATATGGCGATGGCAGCTTTGTTGTCACAGTAGAGATCCATCTCAGAAGTAGGAGCAAAGCCGATTTCAGTGAGTAGTTTCTTGATCCAGAGGAGTTCACAAAGCCCTTTTGCCATTCCTCGAAACTCTGCTTCAGCACTAGACAATGATACCACCTTTTGTTTTTTACTTCTCCATGTAACAAGATTTTCGCCTACAAACATGAAGTAGCCTAAGGTGGATCTTCTATCTGAAATGTTTCCAGCCCAATCTGCATCTGTATAGCCCTCAACTTTCAAGTGATCATTCTTTGAGAACATCAGTCCCCTACCTGGTGAAGATTTTAGATATCGGAGTATTCGAGTCACAACATCCATGTGGTCTTTATTGGGGTTATGCATAAACTGACTAACCACACTTACAGCATATGCAATATCTGGACGGGTATGTGACAAGTATATAAGTTTGCCAACTAACTTTTGATATCTCCCTTTATCTGTAGGCTCTTGATCTGGAAAATCACTTAATCGATGGTTCTGGATGATTGGAGTATCTGTTGGCTTGCATCCTAACATCCCCCACTTCAGCCAGTAAGTCTTGCACATACTTTCTTTGGGATAGGAATATGCCTTCCCTTGATCTGATCACTTCAATTCCCAAGAAATACTTAAGACCACCCAGGTTCTTCATCTCGAACTCAGATGCCAGCTGTTTCTGAATTCTGGATATCTCTTCTTTATCATTCCCCGTGATGATCATGTCATCCACATAGACTATCACCGCAGTTACTTTGCCCACATTATGTTTCAGAAAGAGTGTATGGTCTGAGTCACTTTGTTTGAACCCATATTTTTTCATTGCCACACTAAATCGTCCAAACCGTGCTCGTGGTGACTGCTTCAAGCCATATAGTGATCGCTGCAATTTACACACGACATTGTGTGAAGGCCCTGTATAC